CCATGAATGGTTTGCGGATTGGGCCTTTGGCTTGGTTTCGTGAGCTAGGAGAAACACTGAGAAAACTTGGTTTCTTTGTTACTGCTGACAGCACTGTGTATCGCAAGGTGATCAAGGAGAAAGGCAAGGATGCCATTGTGTTGGTGTTGGCCTATGTAGATGACATCTTGGTTTTCAGCACGGTTGCGAGTGTAGCTGAGAAAGTGTTTGAGGAACTGAGTAAAGTGTTCAAGATGAAGCGCACGGGAACGCTTCAACCGGGAGAGAAATCGGTGATCTCCTTCCTTGGGAGAAACATTTATCAGAGGAAGACCGGAGACTTGTACTTCGGACTCAAACCCGGGATGCTCCATAGCTGTGCGGAAGAGTATCAAATCACGAAGGGAGCGAAACTCCCCAAGCTTGAGCGTTTGTGGACCAGTCTGGAATCCACCCCGATCACGCATGAGGCCTATCAGCGCTACCGGCGCGTGTTGGGCAAACTGTCGTGGCTAGCTTTGACAAGAGCTGATTTGCAGTTTGTTGTAGGTTTTCTGGCCCGGAGCCAGAGCAACCCAGACTCCAGGAGTGAAGCGTGTATTCGAGCTGTGCTGCGTTGGATTCTCACGCTTGGGAATCGGGTTCAGCGGATCCCGGCACAGTGGGTGAACTATCGCCCTTCGGAAAGTACGCGTGTGATCGATTGTTTCTGTGATGCTAGCTGGAATTTGCCCTCTGTGAGTGGGGCGATTATCTGCTGGCAGTGCAACCTGCTGAAGAGTTTTAGCCGTAAACAGACGGTTGTGGCCCTGAGCAGTGCCGAGGCTGAATTGAGTGCTTTGGTAGAGACTGTGAAAGAGGCTTTGTTTGCAGGGTTGCTTCAACAGTCGTTTTTGGAGGGATTGCCTGAGGATGATACCGGAAGCTTTTGGATCCGGATTTGTACCGATTCTGAGTCGGCAAAGGCGATTGCTTCAATGGAGGGACTCTTGAGAAGGGTTCGTCACCTGGAGTTGCGGTGTGCTTTCCTGCAGCAGATGGTTCAGTCGGGGAGAGTGATCCTCGAGTTTGTGGCCGGAGCATATAATGCCTCCGACGGCCTGACCAAGAGTATGGTCTTTCAGGAGCAGCTGGACAACCTCTACGAGGTAACCGGTTTGGTTTCTTTTGAAGACGAGTTGGGTGAGTTTGAGCTGGAACGCCTGACTGCAGAAGAGCCGGTAAACCGTTCTTTTGTTCCTGAGGAGTACGTTTCACTGTGTGAAGCTGTGGCGAAGAACCAGGTCACCTTTGTGGTCGTTGAACTGTTCTGCCAGGAAGAAAGTGCCTTACAGAAGGCATGTGAGAAGCTTGAGATTCCCTATGTGGGTGTCACTGAAAAGCTTGACTTTTGTTCTGAGCAGACGCAGTGTTTTCTGAAGGAGTTGTTTTCTGTGTTGAGTTGTGGCTTGAAGACGAAGATCTACTGCCATATCTCCACTCCCTGTACCACTGGGTGTCGTTTGCGTTACCGCGGGTGGCGCAAGTACAGTCAAGAGAAGTGGGAAGAGAAGAAGAAGTTGCATCAGCGTGCTTGGGAACTTCTTGAAGGTTTGTTGAAACCGGTTGCTCGGAGTGAACGCTTGTTGTTGACTCAAGAGTGGCCTCTGCAGAACGACCTCTGGAAGGACCCGCGGTATCTTCAGGTTGCTTCAGAATTGGGGCTTTCTGAGGGTATTGTGGTAGACCGCTGTGCGTACGACTGTGTGTTTAAACGGTGGTACTTTGCCACGAACAGTAAACGCTGGGTCAAAGTGTTTCCTAAACGGGAATGTGACCAAGTGCATGAACATGTACAGGTGGAATTAAAAGATTCAGGGTTCTATCCTGAAAAGCTAGGTCTAGAGCTTGTAAAGTGTGCTCAAAAGACACTAGGTGCCGCATCAGTCCAAGAGGGGGTGTGAAAATCCCATTTGACCTTGGATGTCCTGATGTTTTCGGCATGCCTGAAGCTGTGAGGAGTGCTTTTGAGTTAGGAAGTGACTGCACGTTCGTTTCGTCTCGTTTCGTTAGTGCTTGAAGTGTTTTGCTTGGAGACAGACAGCTGCAAGGTGTTTCACTGTCAGTCAGAGCCCGACGCGACTCCGCTTTGGCTCAAGAAAAAGACCGAGTGCTGCGCGCTCTGTTTTTCACACTCCATGCAGTGCAAAAGTCGGGTCAGCGCTCAGTGTGCTGAAGTTCCGTCCTGATTGACATTCGTGTTCTTAGAAAACGGTAGGGCAGTCTTAGTTGCTGCCACTGAGCAGCCGAAAAGACGGTCGATGCATGAGGTCGGGATTGTTCGAAAGATGATGCAAGCTGTGGCTCATTTTTGTGCCCTCTCCATGATGTTCTGCACAATGGCTTTGCTCGGTCTTGGTTCTGCAGTGTGCATCCAAGCGTTGGGCGGCAAGGAGAACCTGCAGAGTTTAGACCTTCTTGATGTCATCCAGCTGTGCAGCGATTTGTGAGTGCCATCCGGAAGTTGCAGTAGAAGGATACGTCTTTTCTGGTGGTTGTCTCTGCGGTCTTTGCCGGTGCATCTGATTTCTGTGGCTCTTGAGTTGCTATGCTGCATTGCATTGTTCTCCAGCTTTGCGAGGCTCCAATGGAGTTGATCTGCTTCTGTGCTTCTGAGAGAAACCTCCAACTTGAAACCGCCTTGGTCTCTGGTGTTGGTTTGATCTTTCGTGGCGCATGAAATCTCAACACCAAGGATTCGATGGTCACTGATTTGCCACATCTGTCGCTAGTAATGTTCTTCAGAGCTCTGCGATAGCGATGTATGGGAGCAGTACATGATGGCAAGCTCGGAGTTGCTGCGATGTTCCACATTGTTGACAGTTGATGTGCAGTTGACGCCCTCGAACATGTAGCATGACTCGCGCGCGATTTTTCGGATGATATACTCCGCGAGTTCTAGTAGCTGCACCATGCTGAGCTGATTGACGATGCTGTACAGGGTGTCGAGCTGTTGTCCTGCTTGACGTGGTCCTTCCTCTTGGCGCTCCCATCCCATGTGCGTCTTCCCCGGCGCATTGCTACAAGGTTGCGGTTGCTGGGTCAGGAAAAAGAAGCTCTATGCTCGAGTGGCTTGCCAACCTGCACTGATGCCAGTTGCTTGGCTTCTGGCTTCTTTTCCAGATTCTGGAGGCGTAGCGAGACTTGCATTGTAAAGGCTGGTGAGTAGTCCTGCCGGTCTGGATCTGTTCCTGTGTTGTCGCCATGGCTTGGGATGAGTCCGAGGATTGCAGACTGTACAATGACACAGCACTGTTTAAAGTGTCGATTGTAGGAGGTGCGTTGGCAGTAAGGGCAGGTTCCATCACGCGTGAGCCGGGGCTTGAAAACAGAGCAGGTGCTTTCGAGCCGCTCCGAGACCTGCTTCCAAATTTCAGGATGGGAGTGTCTCATGTGTCGCTTGATGGACGTTGTGTCAACCATCCATCTGGCACAAATGCAGCAGTGCTGTTTTAAGTCCTCTGCATGCTCGCTGCTCACCAGGGCTTCCCACCCCTGGTCACGAATCAAGTCCGCGACTTTAAGATTGCGATGCGGTGGCAATCGTGGCTTCTCCTCGGTGACCTGGGTGGGGTTTACCTGAAAGGGGGCAATAGCCTGTGTGGGGCCGGTGCTCGGCTCCTGGTTGTCCACTCTCTGTTGGTGGCATTGACCTTTTTCAATGTGGGTCTTAAGCGCCTGCCAGTTCTGGAACCTGTGCTTGCATGCGGCGCACTGTGGCAGGCCTCCAATGGCATGTTCCGCCGGGTCGAACTTGATTTCCTGCCTTTGGTAGTCGGGGTGTTTTCGCCGAAGGTGCTTGCGAACGCTGGTCTGATTATCAAAGTAGACCCCGCAAACCGGACACGACACGCCTATACCCTCCACGCCTTCTTGCTTGGGCCGCTCGATCGGAACCACCTGTTGGAAGGTTTCCATGGCATGTGTCAGTTGTTGCAGTGCCTGGGGCCTGGTAACAATGTTCTCGGGTTGTGTCTCCTGCAGTGTGCGAAGCTCGGCGAGCCGGTTCTTGGCCAACTTGAGCAGATCTTCTGTCCACTCGACACAGTCGAACAGTTTCCTAATCTCATCGTTGGATTCGTGCGTTAAATGTGCTGGGCGACCTGCGATAGAGTGAAGTTGCCTCGCCGACATGGCGAGAAGTTGTGTACGGCCTGTGACGGTAAGGCCGGTGGCTAGCAACCCGTAGCATGCACTGGCCTGAACGCCTGCCTTCCATATGCGATAACGGTGTTTGCGTGTGACAAGCCTCTTGGCATGAAGTGTTTTCCGAAGCAGCATACACCCCGGGCCTTACCGAGCCGATGCTGCAAAGTAAGTGTCTGTGGGTCTCTGTAGGCCAGGATCGTGCCTAGGTATTCATGTTGTTTCTTGATTGGCACCAATATCTCAGGAGATTCCCGGGCCAGAAGGTATGTTTGCTCTTGGCGTCTCACCTTGGCATGCCTGAGGATTTTCTCGACTTCCTTGCCTTGCAGGTTGTACAGTACAGCACATTTGCTTGGTTCGATCGCCATGCCGTGTTCTTCAAGGACGGCTATAATAAGCTGGACGTCCCCGAGTGCCTGGCGAAGGCCTGCAGCATCTTGGATCGACCAGGCGGCGAAGGCATCGTCCGCGTACCAGGTGAGTCCGTCCTCAGTCCATCGGTCTGGTGTGCTCTCGCAGATTTTATCAATGAGCAGTATGGTGTACGCAATGAACAAATAGGGCGCGATGTTGCAGCCTTGCTTTATGCCTTGGGTGGGCATTCCCGGCCGAGTATCGGCTCCGATCCGTGTCCAATACTGTGACTGGTGTTGCTGTTGCATGATGAGATGTACTAGATCCGGCTCCACCTGCAGTCTAAACAGACTCTCGGCCAACCTGTGCCTTGGAACCGCATCAAAGGCACCTTTAAGATCTAAGCTGAAGCAAATGCCTCTAAAGCAAGATTTGGGCTCCTGGCCAGAATGTCTTGCATAAATGGATGTGCGCTGAGCCTAGATCTCCTGGCGTGTCCGGGTGAGGTGCCCATGTGCCCGCAACAAGGCGTCCAGGGTGGATCTGCCTTTGGCATATGCAAACTGCGGGCGTGTGATCAATGCCTGTGTGAGGACGGGCAGCAGTCGGGACCTAAGCAGTGTGCAGATGGATTTGCCCATGGGGTGTACCAACCCAATGGGTCTAAGATTGGCTAACAGGCTGGGATCCTTATTGGGCTTCGGCATCCAGACCATGTTGGCGTCTTTCCAGATGGAAGGTGCACGCCCAGTTTGACCTGAGCCCCACATGTGGGTGACCGGGTAAAGGAAGGTCTCGGCTAGGTCCTCGGCGCTGTTTTTCCATAAAGCAGACGGTGCCGCTCCCGGCGGCGCTGCCTTCCGAATCGGCAGCTTGCTAAGGGCAGACTGAAGTTGATCACTCGTGACGGCGAGACCCTCCAGGAGCACACCTGTCGGTCGGTAGTCAGTGCCCTGGCAGAATTTGTCCTGGGCGTGCACCGTAAGGGCCTGTAACTGGAGTGTGGGTGTGAGGAATCCGGAACTCGCCTGACGGCCCACGGATACTGGGCTTTGCCACTGGCTTCCAGGGAGCCAGCCTGCGAACGGCAGCGTAGGTGCTTCCTTGGTCCCCTCGCTGGGCAGCCTGCTCCAGTTCACACATAATGTCTTGGATCTTCTGTCTTTTGATCTTCTTGGCGCGGTCCCTCAGCTGTTTGGATGCTCGCTTAAACTGGGTCCACAGCCGCCATTTTCGGAGGATGTTTTGCCTATTGCATCTGCCTATGGACCGATACGACCTATAAAAACTCCACAGCTCTTTGGTTAAAAGAGTAAATTGGGGGTCTTGGCTCACGCGTCGGTCTTCTCGGCCTCGGGCTGGGTACATCTGCTCAGCTCTTCGAATCAGGATACTGTCCACCTTGACGGTAAGCTCACCAGGGCTCAATGCACTTGGTATTTGAGACAGGTCGTGTGCAACCTGAGATCGGAGGTGTTGGGCCCGGCCTAGCGATCGAATCTTGCATTGCAGCCTTATCAATCAGTGCACCGGCGGGCTTCGGCTGCCGAATCAGGTGCCAAGGTGACACCAATTTGATTGAGGCCTGTACGGGGAAGTGTCGATTGGCTTTCCAGGCTCCGACGGGGCATGCTGGAAGAGAGTCACTCTGCTTAGCCAGTCGATCTGCCCATTGTACTCGAACGGCAACGAAGTCTATCTGGCTAAGGGCCCCACTTGTAAGGTTGGTGGCCTTGTTCCTACCGTGCCAAGTGTTCAGGAGACAGAGGCCATGGGTTTGCAAGAGCTCCGGCAGGCCCTCGCCTGCGTCTTTGTTTCCATCGTGCCCCCGCTTCTTCAGGAGAGCTCTGCCAACATGTGGTGTGAGTTCACTTACCTCTGCATTGCAGTCCCCCCCTAGAATGCATGTGTGTCGCATGGGGCATGAACCTAGGGCTTGCCCAATCGCACGATACACTGAGGTCCTGGCTGCTTGGTTCTGGGCCGTGGTGTGTTGGCTGCGCCAGACGTGCTGATAGACGTTAATCACGTCTATTGCTCCAAATTGCTGGTGGATCCTGGTGTGATGGACCCGTCCCTTCAGGTAAGTCTTGCGTTGTATAGCTTCGGAGGGGCCCAGCCTCGAGTGCACAAGTGTCGCTAGACCTGAGCATTTGTCTTTATCTGCAATGGGAGTGCCAACACAATGCCACTTTCCTGAGGTAAAGTCTGACCAGCTGGTCCAGTGAGTCTCCTGAAGGAGAATAAGGTCGAATCGCGTTGCTTCTGCTGTATTGAGCCAGGCCTGAAATTCCTGCCACATTGCACTGGACAAGCCAGACACATTGAAAGTGAGAACCTGAACCCGGGTGGCCGGGTGCCTGGCTGTGGTTCGGGGCCGGCCACGGCTCCCTTGCTGTGCTGCCGAAGTAGATCTGGGCTCTCGCGGGGGCAGTGGTTTTCCGTACTGTGCTTGCAGCTCACTGGCACTGCACAGGGAGCCTCTGTACATTGTAGGGCCTTTAGCAGCTCGTGCGCGAGCTCGACGATATGCTCTTTTAGCACTCCACGGGTACACAAGAGCATCTGGGGATCGGGCAGTGTATGGAGTAGCTGAGTAGCTGTGCCAGCGCCTTCACGGGTCGGTGTTGTATGACCTGGTTGTGAACATCCCGTTCCCGAGACCCCGCTGGTGTGGGTCTCAACCCTCGATTCTCCAACTCCCCTTGCTACTTGAAGTTGAGCTAAGACGAGAGCCCCGAAGAGCAGTCGCCGATGCCAATGTAGTACCTGGACTCCATTTGGCTTGGTTCTAGGGAAGTTGTCCCCGGATTTGGGACCGGGGCAGCTCGAAACATATCTGTTATGTGTGCAGGTCTCTTCGTGTGGGCTTAGGGCCGGGCTGGGGCTCCGGCTGGTCGAAAATATGTAGCTCGCTATCAAACAGAAAACACAGTACCAGTGCTTGATGAGGTTTGCGGCGGCAGTCGCCAGGCTCAGGACTGGAGTGTGCAGACTGAAGTGCAAGGCGTAAGGTCCAAGCAAGCGAGCTAAAAAGTGCGGCTGCGCTCGGTCCTGATTTTGCCTCCTTGGCTGCTGGATGCAACGATCTACATTACTGCCGGTCGAAGTCTGGCCAGCATCCTGTGAGCTCACATTGGCTCTTGATTTTGTAGCATCTGGCGCATCTCCAGCCTGCTCGGACGAGCATCTTCGGTGCCACTTTGCCACATTTCTGTGGGCCGCGGGAGACCACTCTCCCCACTGACCCAGTTGTTGCAAGCATGTCTTCAGGGTTCGCCTCGGGTGCCTCGGAGGAGGGAGGCCCAGCTGTGTTCTTATCATCATCGGTGTCCTCCCTTCCCAGGTCCTCGCTTGAGTCATCGAGCGTTCCAGCTGCCATCCTCCGGGCCAGGCGGGTGCCAAAAGCTTTGGCTTCGATCTCATGGAGCTTGGTGCGGCGACCGATACCTCTTCCATCGAGCTTGTGGTGCTGGAGGATGTATCACTGCTGTCAGTGAACCACGACGGCGATGTGGTGTCCTCAGGCTCAGCTCGGCGAGGAGTTCGATGATTCCGGGCTTTGGCTGTTGGCTTGGCTTTCGCTTTCGCCTTCGTTTGCGGCCTTGATCGACATCGTGGCTTCGGTTTGGACTTGGGTGCCGCCTTGGCCTTGGCCTTGGAGGCGGCTGTGCCTGTGCTGCTTCGCGATCGCGCCTTCGAAGGCGTGTTTGTCGTGGCCTTTTTCCCTATGAACACTGGTCTGGTGATAGGTGGAAAGGCAGGGTGAAAAAGAGGAACAGGGCCGCAAGCAGCTGCAGCGAGGCTGAAATGGCAAGTAAACCCCAGCACCATCTAATGCAGCCAGTAGCACTGGATTGCAGCTTCGGTCCAAAGTGTACCGCCTTTATCCTTCTCCATTGGCTGAAGTTGCAGCGAGTCAGGCGTCGTCTATGAAACCTGCAAGGGCAAATGCGATGCATCATATAGTGTCCTCGTGACCAAGTTCCAGGGCGCCACAAGCTGCAGAACAGAAGCCTAAAAAGTGGCCTGTGTGTTCTTCCTTGTTGTTGTCCAAGGGGTGGCAACCTAGCAGCACAGAAGGAGAACACGACAAGCCAGAGAAGCAATAACGCCGGCGGCTCCCCAAGGTTGGGGCCGAGAGGTGATTCCAAGACCTCTGTGTGACAGGGGCACACCCACGGTTCGGGCACGGGCCCCGGCACACCAAGGGTGGGGCCGAGTAGGCCATCCACAGCCTGAATCCAGCTGTGCAGAACCGACGTCCAATGTGGAGCCTGGGCTGGCCTCGCTCCTGTTCCGGACATCCATGGTGAACCTTGGTTGGGGGCTTGTGCAGCAGCATGTTTTGTGCTATCGTGCGGGTCGCATGGCCAGACAGGAAGTGCAAGAGATGCAAGCATGTATGCAGCACTGTCGGAACCCTGCTCGGCAGTCTCAGCTACATTCTGCTGCGGCAAGGTCTGTACACACCCATCCTGAGTGACATCGGGGGCCGGTGGGTCGGCACTCCCTGAAGCTGTGTCCCTGCATGCTGTGATCGCCGACGTCGTTGATACTCCTGGCAGGCCTGAGTCCAGTGCTTCATCAGCTGTGCTCGGATGCGGTGGCAGCTGCTGCAGTGGGAGATATGCTGGTCCAGTAGTGCTCGCCTCGGTCGATGCATGAGGTCGGGGTTGTTCGCCAGGTGGTGCAAGCTGCGACTCATTCTGTGCCCTTTCCATGATGTTTTGCACAATGGCCTTTGCCCGGTCCTGGTTCTGCAGTGTGCCATCCAAGAGGAGCGTCCACCTCCCCTCCTTGGAGGGGCGGGCGGAGAGGAGAACCTGCAGAAGTCCAGACGCCTTCTTGATGTCATCCAGCTGTGCAGCGAGTTGTGGGATGCCAGTGCCATCCGGAAGTCGCAGTAGAAGGGTACGCCTTTCCTGGTTGGTCGCCTCTGCGGTCTTCGCCGGTGCATGTCCATCTGATTTCGGCTGGGGCTCTTCACACCCTTTGCGGCTCAGGTTTGCCCCCCAGCCTGCGTCTCCATCAGACTCTTGCCTCTGCCATGTCGAACCACTAGCAGCATCTGTAACAACCTGCTGGTCCTGCCTGGCTGGCTCGCGGTGGCTCCCGTGCCCTTGTCTTGCCACCAATCTCTGGGAGCCTGCTTCTCTCCAGAGGTACGCCTGCGAGTGCCGTCGGCTCGGAAATGTGAGCGCGGCTTCTCACGTTTGGGCTTTTGGCCCTCCTGGCGGGGCGCACCATCGGGGGCCGACATGGTCGGCACCACCCTATCCACTGGCTTAAGAAGAAGCTGCAAGTCATGTGCTAAACAATCCATCCCTGTTGGCAGTGAGCTGGCAACACCACTATCTGCATATGAGGCCCTTGCATTGAAAGCCAGCACGCCGCTCGATACCGTGTGTTCCTGCAGGTCCTGACAAGGGCAACGAAGAGAAACACCACCGTGAGCAGGGTACAAGGGGGCAGGCTCCTGTGCGGCACGTTCTGGCCGTCCGGGGCCGACCACGGCTCCCTGACTGGTTGCCTGAGCACCTTCAATCCATTTCATCGAGATTGAGTTGCTGGCGCTGCGAGCCTCGTACATCAAAACGCTCCTGTGCACGGGTGAGTGACAGCCTGCACAGCTCATCTCGCTGGGCTCTCTTGGACAAAACTAGCGGTCCCTGAGCATACACAAGCTTGGCTGATGCGACCTGAGTGTCTCGCTTGTGCATGCTCGGGGCCGTACTGTCGGCTCCCCTGTCTGATGTGTGCTGCTTCCTGGCAACATGCTCGGGATTATCACACAGCACAGAAGGACGAGGCATCTTGTTGGGGCCAAAGCGAGAAATGTCCATGCCATGCGCGAAGAAGCTACCAAACGTCGTGGAGCCACGGTTAAAAGCCGAGCCTGTTAAGCCCCAGGGCCCGGTTCCAAAACAAAAGAAGACCTACAACAAAACCGAACTTGAGCCAGAATCTTGCTGGGTCCATCAGCAATGTTGCTGTCTGTCGGGACTCGGAAGAAAGCAGCCCTGCACTGCAGGGACTCTTCAAAATCCACCGCTTGCGAGACTATCGTTGCGCCTTCTACCTTCGTGTGAAGGCCTTGTGCAAGGAGGTACGCGCTGCGTCATTGTCTATCCAGACGAACAGGTCGCTGCCTGCTATATGCTTTGCCCACAGCTGAAGGCTAAGCAAATAGGGCAACAGCTCACACTCATAGACCAACTGCTGTTTCTGTGCCCTGGCAACCCACTGGGCTGCCACCTGGGTGCTGATCTGCAACCCCCAGGTGAAGGCAAGGCCTTCTCCGATGAGCACTGCTCCGAGGCCACACTTGGGCACCAGTCGCGGAGTCTCCCACTCGCAGGCGCCGTCGATATACAGGTGCACCTTCCTGCGCGCGTGGATGGACACTGTCCTAGGCTCCTAGGCGGTCCGTGCACGACTCGTTGCAGAAGGAACGCCATGGCTTGGCACTGCTGCTCGGTGAGAGGGACTTGCTCGGGGCCCTCTCCGGGGACGTCGCCGACGCAGATCACTGCTATGCGGGTGTTGCGGCCCCAAGCTTGCTGCTCTGCGAAGATGAGCCTGCCGCGCAAGCTTTGCGCTTCCAGAGGCGACATGCTGCCGCGAGAAAGGGCCTCGCTGAGGACCATCCCCAGCTCTGCTGCTCGGGTCGGCTTGCTACTGACGGAGACCTCGCCGAGGTGCTGCTTGGACAAGTCGACTCTCACGCCCAACACGTCGAAAACTTCGCTGAAGTCGGCGTTCTTTTTGGGCTCTGTGGCCACCTGCCAGCCCAGCTTGTTAAAGAGATTGGTCACTGCCAACGTGACGAGCTTCGCGCGCGCGCGTCAGAACTGTGAAGTCATCGAAGAAGCTCGTCATTACTAGCATTGTGTGGGCAGTCTGTGCCTCTTTCTATGATGTTAAAAAAAGGATATATTTGGGAATAAAATGGATCCTAAATGTAAAACAAATGGAAACGGCCTTTGGGGGGGTGGATGATCGGAATGGGTAAGAAATGGAAAAGAAATGAGAACAAATTGGGGTCTGCAAAGGTAAAATAGGAATTAGCAAAAGAAATGCAAAACAAATGCAAAATAAATGTGAAACAGCGAAATTCATTTCAATGTCAGTACATTATAGGTTTCATCATAGTCAGTAGTAAAGTCTTTGTAAGCAGAAACACATGTAAAATGCACAGAAAATGCAGACAAAATGCAAGTAAATTGCATGGACAGTGCAAAACAGAGTATCAATGCATCGGGAATGCATTGGGCATCGAATAGAATTGGCAGTTTTCGTGTATTCAGCGTATTATCCTAGGTCACAGGAGTTGCAAAAGCACCTTTGTCTTGCAATCGTTCGTGATGCTCGTTGGTATATGGTAAACTAAAAATCACATGCATAATGTAGGAAACGAACACCCTAAATGTCGCCAAAGTTGGACACCCTGCCGTCATCGAGGCATGGATCAAGCAAGTTTGCTTTTGCACGGCGCATGATTGATGTCTTTGAGATTTTTTGGTAGGGCAGCTTGCGATAGTTGAATAGTTGAGATCCACGCAATTTTGGGCTTTATGGCAGAGTTACGCAGAGTTGTTTTTTGACACAGCGCCGCAAGGCAGCCTCTTCGAGGGCACATGGTCACAACAGGACACAGGACATGTTACCTAGGTCCTAGGTCCTAGGCCCAGGCCCTACCTAGGCCCATCCTAGGTCCCTAGGTCCTAGGCCCTAGGCTTAGGTTTCAGATCAGTCGAATGGCAGCGGTTGCCATGGACGGTCCTGTGGAGGAGGAATGGGCTGATTTTGCGACGGCTTTTTTACGTGAGATGCGTGAGAAGTCTGCAGCAGAAGAAGAGCTGCAGGTGTTGTCCCAGGATACAAGTGAAGCAGATGCATGCAGGTCTTCAGCCTCCAGTCAAGGCGATGAAGGGCAATCTTTCATCATGCCTTTTGAAGATGAAGATGTTGATCCTGGAGTGCCGCTGCTGCCTTCAGATGACGACTCCTGGTGGGTGCAGAAGCTCAAGGATCACACCCGGGATTGGGATCCCCGTGGCGGTAGCTCGAAGTCTCACGTCTCTGTGCTGAGTGCGTGCACTGGAGCCTTTGTGGAGGGCGTCGCTTTCAAGGACAGTGAGGGCGGGTTATCGGTTATCAAAATGACGAGAAAGAGCTGTGGTTTGATTGCCGATAAGCAGTTAGCAGTGTAAGAGGCGGTTGCTGAACCTTCGGTACACGTAGGTTCGGTAGGCAGGTAGGGTCGGACCAAGTGGGATGCGACTCGAGTCTAGCAGATTCTTAGTGATAGTTCGGTGCGGAAGGAGCTTGGCATCCCTTTCGAGACGACATCCATCTCCGAGCCGTGTGCAGAGTATCGGTCCTTCACTCTGCACAACCACTCTGGAATCTTCCATGCCCACGAAACTATTCGGAAGCAGATTCAGGGGTGTGCGTGCACTCGTCATCCTCACTCGGAGGCGTGCGTTGTTGATTCCAGCCCGGCATTCGCGTGCCTTGGCACACCGTGCAAGCCCTTCAGTGTCCAGAGGGCAAAACGTTTCAAGACTTCGCCGCAGGACCACAGTGCATATGCCATCACATTTACAGATGCAGTCGATTTTTTTGAAACCTTCACGCCAGTTACAGCATGCTTCGAGAACGTCGAAGGCTTCGACATGCCGGATCGTTCACAGAAGGATGGCTGTGACGACACTCCGATGGAGAGGCCTGCGGTGCTGCACCTACCTAATCAGTCATCTGTCCGATTTAGGAATCCAGCAGTTGAAGTGTGAACTCAGCCATTTGCCGAATGCCATCGCTGTCATCATCGAGCGCTGTTAATCAATGACTGTTAATAATAACGGCTAGTGGCTAGTGACTAGTGATAGTGATGCCAGTGCTGTCAGGGACTTCCTGTCATTGATCGGCTAGTGGTGCCTTCAATGCTCTCGGGCCAGGTTCCTGGCAGAATTGAAAACGGCAAGCGTGCCGGTGGGCTACTTCCATGCGGTTGTGCACTTGGACATGGCTGACTGGTTGACCATCGCTAGGAAGAGGACATTGGCAGGGGGCGGGTCACTGGTGATTGTCATTTTGCTTTGCGCGCATGTTGCTGACCTACTGCATTGGACGGGCCGGAAGGGGCTCGAGATGGCTCGAGCTGAGTTTGAGGATGTTCGCCGAGGTCCTTTAAAGTTGAAGCCCAAACTTATTGCTCCTAGCGGTCCTAGCTCCATTCTAGGCCAACTGGGTCACTATGCCATCTCATCTAGAATCTAGAATCTAGGAATGTAGGCTGCTGCTACCAAATCGTTTGTTTGTTCCATTGGTCATGCGCTGCACCGTTTAGCTTGCTTTCGGTCGGCGCGGGCAAGACATGTTCTGTGTCCAGCCCTCAGCCCTTTGATGCAATCGCAACAGGTTCACTTCCGTGTGAATAAAGTGATGCAGGGATTCCTGTCGTCAGGTCCGGATGGCCGTGGTTGAATGACTTCGCGGCTTCGTCCGGAGCTTAGTGGCTTAGTGTCTGCCTGGAGGCTGCATACATATATCACCTGCTCTGGTCAGGGTCCTTGTGCTCTTTGACGGCTTCTGGTTTACAGGTTGGTGAGCTGGGCCATCGTTTCTTATTGTTTTGCACTACTCTGTACAGGATCTCTTCGATTCGGCTCCGACATTCTCTTCCACGACTTGGGTGCACTTTAGTTTCGAGGTTGGCGAGCTCGAGACCATTGTTGGCTAATCTTGTCTTTGCATTGCTCGGTACAGGGCGTCCTCGGTTCGGCTCCGACATTCTCTTCGACGACTTGGGTGCACTTTGGTTTCGAGGTTGGTGAGCTCGGCCGTGCTTGACGACTGTTTTTCTTGATTGCTTTGCGTAGGACCTTTGCTTCATGTTCGGCATCGTCTTTGCACATTGGCTTCCAGGTGGGCGAGCTCAGCTGATGTTTAATAAAAAGTAATGATAGTTAGTTGCTCTGCACCCTTCACGTCATTTGAGACATCGTGAAACCTCCGCCCCTAGAATCTGCCCTAGAATCCCTAGAAACAGGTGTGCCTGGCCATAAGCTGCATTTCTCAGGTCTGCTTGCCATTGTGTATATAATATATAGGGAGTGGAGCTGTCACTCTGCAGATCTGTGCGTGCTGCCGCTGTCCCTGTTTCAAGCCGGGTTCTGTGCAGCACGGAACAGTTATCATGACGTTGCAGTTCCCAGAGTCGCCCGAGCATACCTTCGAGGGTGAGGCTCCTCTGGTTTACGTTATTGGCATCCCTCAGGTGTGCCTTTCCTTGGCTGCTTGTCTTGAGCCGCCTGAACTGCAAGCTCTGGAGGCAGTGCATTGGTGGATATCTTCTGACCTGCCGTGGTATGTGTTGGGCCAGGGTGACTGCGACAGTGACAGCTCTGCACCAGCCATTGATTCTGCAAGCTCGGCGGCCTGTATCCAACCTGTACCAGCGGGCTGAAACGGAGACCCTGAGGGATTCCCATCCTTGATGACAGCTGGATTGTGACCTGGGGAGCCCCGCCGCAGTTGTGGCCACAGTAGTTATGTCATGCGCAGCACAGGTTTTGATTTTTGTACAGGCGGCCAAAGATTCTTTCGCTGCGATCTGCCAACATGGCTCCTGTATATACTGGGTGGGCGGACATATGGGCATGAGTTGCTTGCATGTCGTTGAATATTTGCCAAGTCCGAGTGAAGCTGAACCGTTGACATAATGAGTCTACTCTGTCTTCATTGTTTTGGCAGGCGTGGGTGTGGTGGTCAAGAAGTGCATGGACAAGGCCGAGGGAGCCAACGTGCCAGTGAAATCATGTTATGGCTGTCATCGGAGGTTCTTCGACATGGACTGGTGACTTGTGCATCAAAGCCGGGGCAGGGTCCTCGGGACATGAACCCATGCGCAACCGTCGAGGAACAGTCAGCGGATTCTCATTGGGTCACACCCGAACCTTGGGCCTTGAAGGTCCACATTCCGGGAGTCCAAGGCCATACTGGTTGAGGCAGGACCGACTGCTTTACAACACGAAATAAGCATCGCTTGCTGCGGCTGCGGCTAGGCTGCGACCTGTCTGCGGTACAGCTCTCCAACGTACGACGAGGTCTGATCTTTGGGCTGTTCCTCAACTGGCACTGTCATGGTTTCTGCTCACACATGTCCTGCCGTCTTGAAGTCTTGCTTGCACCGGTCAGGATACCGTGGCTCTGGATCAGCCGAAGTTGGCAGCCAGGTGAAGCATGTACGGAAGCACAAAAAAATGCAATCAGGCCTTGAACCTTCATCCGTTCAAACTTGAGGCTCTGTTCGAGCAAAGAAATCAACAGCTTCAGTCTTGCACTTTAGGGCCAGTTTAGGGCTTCGGGTTTGGAGATTGTGTGTGTGTGTGTCGGTCCGGCTGTGTGTCTGTGCGATCGCGTCAGTTGTGAATGTGTTTTCGAGGGCGTTGGCAACCCACAGCCGAGACAAGTCCGAATCCCAATCCCCAGATGGACCCACCCTAATTAAAGTGATTAATGATTAATGGCTAAAGTCTAAAGTCTAAGTTTGTGTAAACCCATTAGCTACAGCTGCAAAGATGGTGACTGCGTGTGTGCATGGGAGAATTTGAAACCAAACCCACCAAACATCATCCTTACTACCTACAGGGATCGTGCCTGTGGGTACATGTGCATGGGAGCACCCGAAACACTCATTCCCAAACACACCTAAAACTTGAACGTTTAAACCCATCCTTGCTACCGGGGCTCGTGCCTGCGTGTGTGCATGGGACAACCTGAAGCCCTAATCCCTAAACATCCACAAACAACCCCAAACCCTAAACTTCTAAACCCATGCTTGCATGTGTGCAAGGGAGAACCCACAAACCTTATCCCCCAAACATCCCGTAACCCTCAACACATCCTTGCTGTAGGGTAGGGGTCGTGCCTCCGTGGTCGAAGGAACCCCAAACCGTAATCCCCAAACATCTGCAAACCCGCATCCCATCCTTGCCACAAGGATCGTGGCTGTGTCCGTGTGTTTGCGTAGGGGAACTCCAAACCCTGTAATATCCTCTACCCCAAACATCCCCAAAGCCTCAACCCATCCTTGGTATAGGGATCCTGCCTGCGTGTGTGCATGGGGAGTTGTTAACCAGAAACCCCAAAACCTGAAAGCAGCGGTCGTGTTTTCGCAGGGCTATGTGTGTGTGTGTGTGTGTTCGCGTTGATGTGTTATGCGCTCGGTTTGAGCAGTTTGGTTGATGTTAGGTCAAATCCTTTAACGAACATCAAGCTCCCAGCAACAAACCCCAAGAACATGGCTTTCCTGGAAAGCCTTAAATCTATCCGCTCGCGTCGATCATGCAGGGGCCGCAGGCCGCAGGGGCATGTCAGGTTATTGGTGTTCCGGTGCTTGTTTACTTCTGTAACTGTCACGGTGGCAAGCAGAAGGGCCTGAGAAGGGGACTAGCTGACAGGTGTTTCGAATTTCGAAGTGTTCGGTCGACGACAGAGACAAGTTGTTGGAAACATGTCAAACATATTTATCGTTTCATGATGTCATGGATGCCTCAGTGCCCGCTCCAGCTGGGGCTGCAAAGGAGAAGAAAAGAACACGGCCAATTGGCTCCGGTGGTAGTGCTGCCTACAAGCGTGACTTGAAGGCCCTCAGGGATGCAGCTCATCCCGAGGGTGAGGAGCAGGATAGCGGATGCGCGAGAGCTGCAAAAGCGAGACTGTGTCGGGCTCGAGCTCGGGAAGCGGCTCAGGTTGCTCAAGATGGGCAACCAGAAGGCTCGGTCAGTGAGCTCTGGCGTTACCGAAGTTTGGGTTCCGAGTTGCAGAAGAGATTGATGTTGTGTGTGATGGCATCACGCAAGCCAACGGCTCCCGAAGTAGATCCTGATGCCGCAAGCTTTGTGAAGCGACACTTGATGCAGTTGCAGCCCGGCTTGTCGTTTACAGCTGAAGCTTCAGCCGTGGACAATGAACGTCGCAATCTGAAGAGCATGCTGCTTCGCACAGGTGCAGCGGTCTACTGGGGTGCCTCAATGATGTTTGGCAACCTTGCCTCTAGCATCCTCGCTTCTGGTGCCAAAGTGGTTATGCTAGTGAAAAAGCGCAGATATGATGAGACGCCGTTGCGGGTTCGGCAGAAGTCTTCAGAGGAGGGTACCGCTGTGCCGACAAAGCTTCTGCAGACGGAGCTCTCTTTCGGGGTCCTTTTGCAGAAGAATGAGCAATACATGTTTGTACGAACGACACTACCCACGACTCTTTCATCGTTTGATGCTTGCACTGGTGAAACGTTGAAAGCATGTCAGCTGAACCTAGAAAGCTCCGTTCCGGAATTGCGCCGGTTGGCGAGGGAAGCAGCCTTCAAGGTTCAGTTGGTCATGACGGACAGAGCGGGTCCGAACATCAAATGTGAGAAGTCAATGCAGCTGGAGGATGCATCCTTTGTAAAGGCTCATGGCTTCTGTAAGATTCACAAGCTCGCCCAACAGCAAACTCAGTGCTGCAACCTTGTGGACGGCCACATATCTGGCATCATTGCTCTTGCGGTGGCCATGCAAATGGCGGGTGCGACATCGAAGATGAGGGATGCACTATCGTCTGTTCTCCGGAAAAGAGTTGACATTTGCATCGGAGATCCACCTGATAATGCGGACAACGATGCATACAGGGAACAAGTCTTCGACATGTGCCTGTCTGATTGCAGTGGCAGTGGGGACGAGGGAGCGAAAGTTAACCGTGTGAGGCGGCGACAACGCCTTGTCCTTGAACACTACTTCCGAGGCAGCAACTTGCGTGGTACGAGGATCTTGTTCTTTTGGCCTTCTGGCCCGGTCCCAGATGAAAATCAAATCTTCGCTGAGCTCGACGAGCACCTCGTCCCGGCCCTCATCCCTCACCGCTGTCCGGTGTTTCCCCGTTCCCGGTGGACCGGCGGGGACTTGGCATTGGATTGGGTGTTGCTGTTGGGCCTATGCTTCTTGGAGTACCTATTTGTAATAACCGGATAGTGAATTTGAATAGTGATCCTAGGGTCCTAGGGCTAGACTAGAGTCTAACTAGAGTCTACAGATGTCGTAGTCGTAGTCGTATTGTCATGGCGCATAGACATACTGACATAATGCCATAGTGTCGAATCAGAAGCTGTGCAAGCTCACTGCCGTGAACCTCAGAATCGCAGAAAGCCAAAATAGTCAGCAAGCACGGAATGTAACATACCGTATCATTGCAGCCCGTTAAGCCCGAGTCCAGGCTTCGACCTTCTTTCAGACCTGGTG